CTATGTTGTTCTTGAAGAACATGAAGTCATAATGGCTAACAGTGTAAGGGCTCAAGTTCAAGGCAAAGGTGAAGTGTATTTGCAATTCACTTCTGGAAAGAAATTGGTCCAAAGTAATGTGTTTCATGTTCCTAGTATTGTTAAGAACCTTGTATCAGCCGACATCCTTAATAAAAAAGGATTGAAGGCAGTCCTAGAATCAGATAATGTAATCTTGTTAAAGAATGAGGTATTTGTAGGAAAATGATATTCTTGTAATGGCATGTTCAAGTTAAGTATCAATAAGATGAATGATGTTTCTATTTATTCGATCGAGTCTTCTTATTTTCTTTGGCATGGTAGATTAGGACATGTGAGTCATAAAGTAATTTCTTATATGTCTAAAAATGGTCTAATTAATTTAAGTGACTTGAAAAATAAGAAGTGTGAAACTTGTGTGCAAGCCAAGATTACAAAATTACCTTTTCCTGGAGTTGAAAGAAATACATCTTTGCTTGAATTGGTGCATTCAGATGTGTGCGAACTTAATGGATTTTTAACAAGGGGAGGTAACAAATACTTTGTAACCTTCATAGATGATTGTTCAAGATTTGTGCATGTTTGTCTAAGGAAGACAAATGATAAAGTTTTTGGTATGTTTAAAATTACAAGTCCCTAGTTGAAAATCAATTAAGTAAGAGAATCAAAATTTTGAGAAGTGATAGAGGAGGTGAATACTTCTCGAATGAATTCTCAAAATTTTGTGAAGATAATAGTATTGTGCACCAAACAAGTGCACCATACACACCACAACAAAATGGTTTAGCTGAAAGGAAAAATAGAACTCTGTGTGACATGGTAAATGCTATGTTAGTAAGTTCGGGTCTGTCAAATAATTTGTGGGGAAAAGCCTTGTTAGCTGCGTGCCACTTACTTAATAGAATTCCTTTCCTAAAGACTAAAGTGTCTCCATATGAGGTATGGAAGGAAAGAAAACCAAACTTGAACTATATCAGAGTTTGGGGATGTATAGCTTATTATAGAGTCCTGGATAACAAAAGAACTAAGCTAAGACCAAGAGCACTTAAAAGTGTGTTTGTTGGTTATGCTGAAAATTCTAAGGCCTATATACTACTCAATATTGACTCTAATATAATAGTTGAGTCAAGAGATGTGCAATTCTTTGAGAATTTGTTTCTTAAAGATACCAAAGTGAGTGGTGTTCCATTTAGAGACCCTAATTTTTCTGAAAGTATGACTCTTTCTAATAGTTCTTCAAGTGAACTTAAGAGGAAGGAAAATGACTTTCTTATAGAGGTTAGACGATCTTAACAGCAAAGAAAAGAAAAACAATTGCCCTCAGATTTTATATCTTCACAGGCAATAATCTTTCTTGTTGAAGGCAATAGGGACTCTCTACTTAGTAAAATTCTATTTTTACTTAGTGTAGAGGAAGACCCAAAAACCTACAAAGAAGCTATGAGTTCTAGAGATGCTGCATTTTGGAAGGAAGCAATCAACGATGAAATGGACTCAATATTATCCAATAATACTTGGGTTCTAGTTGATTTGCCTCAAGGCTCAAAACCTATTGGTTGTAAGTGGGTATTTCGAAGAAAGTATGCCACCAATGGAATTATACTAACTTATAAGGCACGATTAGTGGCCAAAGGTTTAAACAAAAAGAAGGAATTGACTATTTTGATACATATGCACCAGTGGCTAGAATTACTTCGATTTGTGTACTTCTGGATTTAGCTTCTCTCTATGATTTGCTTGTACATCAAATAGATGTTAAGACAACATTCTTGAATGGTGATCTTGAACAAGAGGTGTATATGGAACAACCGAAAGGCTTTGTGCTACCGGGGAATGAAAGCAAGGTATGTAAGTTGGTAAAATCACTATACGGACTCAAACAGCACCTAAACAATGGCATGAGAAATTTGAGTCAGTTTTACTCTCAAATGGATTTAGATTTAATCATGCTAACAAGTGCATGTACACTAAAGTGTGTGATGAGTATATATTATGAGTATATAGTGGTTATTTGCTTATATGTTGATGACATGCTCATCGTAAGTACTAATATGAAAGGTGTGGTAGATACTAAAAAGTATCTTTCTTCTTAGTTCAAAATGAAAGATCTTGGTGAATAGATACTATTTTAGGGATAAAAGTTAAACGGCATAGTGGGGGTTTTGTGCTTTCTCAGTCACATTATGTTGATAAACTTCTAACCAAGTATCAACATATGAATGTGAAAGAAGCTGCAACTCCCTTTGATGCTAACTCTAAGCTTTGTAATAATGAAGGCAATCCAATTGCACAGCTTGAGTATGCTAGTGTAATTAGAAGCCTCATGTATGTTATGAGTTGTACTACACCTGACATTTCTTATGCTATGTGTAGACTTGCTAGGTATACTAAATGTGCGGGTCAAGAACATTGGAAAGTTGTCACTAGAGTCTTGGGGTATCTTAAACGAACTAAAGATTTTGGACTATACTACAATCGTTTTCCTAGTGTTTTTGAAGGTTATACCGATGCTAGTTGGATGAATAGCAATGGGGAGCAAAAATCAACTAGTGGTTGGGTGTTTCTGCTAGGTGGTGGAGCTATTTATTGGCATCTAAGAAGCAGACGGTTATAACACATTCCACTATGGAATCGGAATTTATAGTTCTAACCACAGCTTGTAAAGAAGCGGGGTGGCTAAAGGATCTTTTATTAGATCTGGATATATGGCCTAAACCTATGCCGCCAATTACGTTGCACTGTGATACTGAGTCAACTATGTCTAGAGCATTGAACAAAGTGTACAATGGTAAGTCTAGATCAATTAGTTTGAGGCATTCATACATTCGAGAAATGTTAAATAATGATGTTGTCTCTATTGTGTTTTTGAGAACACACAAGAATTTAGCGGATCCGTTTACTAAACCTCTTGCGAGAGAGTTAGTGGCTACAACAACATTCGGAATGGGATTAAAACCTTTAATCTAAAATTACAAACAATGGAAACCCAACCTTTTTCTAGTAGACCACTAGATTGAAAGGTTCAAAGGGTAAAAACAAGTTATTTTGTAATTGTGAGCACCAAATATATGTGTATATCATTCCAAGGTTGGTGCATTATGTTACTCTTAAGTGAGAAGGTTGAGAGCAATCTTTTAATGAAATTATTCATGAATATTCAATTACGGTTAAGTAATGAATTTGAATAACTTTCACCTATTTGACCATAGAAGTAGTGCCGCTTCTAGCAAGAGTTTGAGGTTACCTCTTGTACATGGTCAAGAAGTTAGGATGAGCACATGGCCAGTAATAGTACTAAACAATAATGTGAATTATAAGGAATGTTGTGAGTGTTCGTGTGTGAAAATCAAGTCTGATATGGTTTAGTTGTTGGTTCAAGCAAAGAGCCACCAACAAATTAGCTATATTCGTGACTAATTTTCACTATAGTGTGGTTCAAAATGAAAGTTACCACTCCTTATGCACGATTCTCAATATTTGTGACTGTTTTATATTACAAACTAAGTTGGGGATTATTGGGTTTTTAGTTTGTGAAATAAAACCAAAACCAAAAGTTGCAACCCAAAGTTGGTTCGATATTTCTGGAACCTTCTAAAGGATGTCAAGGAATTGAAAGAATATGAAACATGATAAGTATTCATGAAAGGTTACGTTGTGACTTGGAATTCAAGGGGTATAAGCCTTGATTCGTATTCTTTCATTTCCTAAAGTTTGCCTATAAATAGGTGTACTATTGCAGATTTTGGGTAAGTCCTTTTGCATTCCTAAATTTTGAAAAGAACATTTAATAATTGCAAAATTGCATGTTCTTGTGCTTTTTGTATCCTAGAGACAAATGAATCAAACCCGATTTTACAACATAGTGGGGGCAAATATTGTCTTAAGAACAATGATTACACGTTTAGAGTACATCAAGATTTTTGTGATTTCCCCTTTATTGTCACATACAAACTTCTATAAATAAAGTTCATCTTTCTTCGTCTTATTCTTTGGTATTTCTTGTATTTTCTCTTTTTCTAGTACTCCTACTATTCTTTCAAGCACATTCGAGATTCAACCAAAAAGGTTGACGAGTAAGTATATTTACATGTAAATTCTTGTTCAATCCAGCCTCGATCATTCACATGCCCTTACGTGTTACTTACTCGACCGCATACTATATGTCAATAGATTTTGGAATGGATGGAGCATATCTTGTCTTGGGTATATATGATTCTTTTGTTAATTATGCGTATTGAGAGTACATATTAATATTGGTGTGATACCTCCTTCATCTCACAAAAAGTCACCATTTTAAAAATGGTGCATTATTCATTGTGAACTTTTTCTCTTTTTTGGAAGAGGGAGCATTATTCACTACATCAAAATGTTTGCATTGACTTAATACAGTTATTCAGTAATCATATTGCACCAAAGACTGTGTTTCGGTGCCTTTGTTGGCCAAAATTAATGCAGGATCTGGGAATCGTCCAAAAAAAAGGGGGAAGAAAATCTTCTCCTCCTCAGAAAAATAAAATACATTATAAATTGCAAATTCCTAAAAAAAAAAAAAAAACTCTGCACTATTTTTTTGGGACGGAAAAAGTAATATGTGTGTTTGTTCTAGTGAGAAAGCAGAACAAATTTTTTTTTTTTGGGGGGGTGTAATTTCAAAATTCAACATTTTCGCCCTTGTAATTATCAATCGATCATTTTTTCGTCCCATTTCTCTATAATAATCCTTATCCGTCACGGATTGGATTCAAGAGATTATCCAACATTCTCACTACTTATTGTTGATCCCAGAAACAAGATAACTAGATAAGACAATGAATGCAATATTTAAGGATTACATTTCCCAAAAAACAAAAACAAAATTTAAAAAAAAAAAAAGAAAAAGAAAAGAGTTCCAATCTCCAAGGTATTCAGTGATTTAGTCATCACTCTCTATAAATGCTAAGTCACACAGGATCCAAAATATGCCCGCCGCGTACAGTAATTAACTAATTATACCGATATTCACTGATAATTTCTCCTCTGTTACGTAGTTGTACAATTCTCATCATGTACTACACACATTAGAAAAATTTGTACTACATATCACCAAACAAAATAACTCTAGATTTAGTAAACCATTTATACGTAATAATCTCTGCCTATTTCTGCTCTAATAATATATACATCTCCCAAAACCAAAATATAGAGATTTATCAAATCATACTGCAGAGTAGTTATGAACATGAATCACACCGGGGCTGCCGGAGCTATGAATATGACAAACGGCACGGCGGCGGGCGGAGGAATGCCGGCGATGCGCCCCCACCACATGATGATGCACATGACCTTCTTCTGGGGGAAGAACACCGAGATCCTGTTCCCGGGTTGGCCCGGATACGACAATCTGGGCATGTACTTGCTGGCCCTTTTGTTTGTCTTCGTGCTCGCCGTCTTCGTCGAGTGGCTCTCCAATTGCAAGCTTCTCAAAGAAAGCTCCAACCACGTCGCCGCCGGGATTGCTCAGACGGCTATGCACGCGGTTCGGGTCGGGTTGGCCTACATGGTGATGCTGGCGGTGATGAGCTTCAACGCCGGCACGTTTCTGGTTGCTGTTGCGGGTCACGCGCTCGGGTTTTTCTTGTTCGGGAGCAGGGCTTTCCGTCATGCCCCGCCGGATCATTGGAAGACCTCCGATCTTCCTCCGATGAGATGCTGATGAGAGTAAATCCGAGCATTGAAGACATTTTCTTGTATGCTATATGGGCCGGAATGGAAAATTAATTAGTAGCATATATAAAATGATAATTGTAATAATTTTGCTGTTACAGAGTAATCATCAGTTTTGTTAATGGCTTCCTTTTATTTAAGTTACGTTGATTGTTGTAATCTGTCTTCCCATTTCATTCGAAGCCTGATTATTACAGCAATCTCTTGCAGCGGAAAAAAAAAACTACATTTTGACATTTATAATCGCTCCTTTCATTCATCTCATTATTTGTCCGATGATTAATTATTTTAGAATAGAGAGACAAAAGTTATTTATTTGTATTTAATTGAATTATCATTTTGTCTCACATAAAAAGAGGAATCAAAATCCTTACTTTGCAGTAAACATTGGTTCAATTGGTTTTCAGTCCAACGGATTTGGCACTGAACCCTCCATGTTTGCAACGGTTTGTCTCAGAGGCCATGGCCATTCCCTTTGGTAAACAATCAGTGTAATACTCCTGCGCTGCACAGTAATTTTTAGATATATTTATAGTAAACTTAAAATGAAAAAAAATAATGCATAAAATATTTCAAATTAATTCCATATGAAATGTGAATGATGAAAGTAAACCATACATGTAAAATTTAAAACACTATCAAAACCAAAATGTAAAAATTCGTAAAAAGAGTTTGGGGTATTATTTGAAGGGGAAAAAAAACAAAGTTCATATATTCTAAAGTGCTTTCTTGTAGACAATTTTCGTTGTGCTCTTGCCAAATTCTTCTCCTTTGTTGCAAATGAGAACTTTGAGAAAAAGCAACATAGACCTAACCATGTGTGAAGACTGGACGACAATGAATTAAAGTCTGCAATTTGAATTAATAGTTTAGATGGATTAATAAAACTGGATACAATCAATTAGAGTTTTAAAGTGTACAATCTTAAAGAGTAAGGTTAGCACTTTAGAAGTAATCTCAAAATCGATAATTTCATTGTTAGCAAAATGTGTAGGAATGTATTCGTGATAGCAACAAGAATTTAAGAAATGGAAAAGAAATTTTGAGGCACGTGAAGACACGTTCTCCTTAAAACAGATTCGCTCCCTCTCACAAAGTGCTAGAGGATTAACGAGCGTCTGTCTTCCAGGATACAACGGATAACGCGATCTTAGTCTTGTACTTTAGACAAAATCACCGGCGAACTGGAACTAAGACTTTGATGAACACTAAGGAAGGATAGAAGATTTTTGGTTAATGAAAGAATGAAAAGGAAGTTGAAACATTTTTTTTTAAGTCTAGGATTCTTGAAAATTAAACAATACATATAGGATGAGAGAGCCCCAATATCATTTAAGATATTTTCAATTCAATTAAATGCACTAACTTGATGGTTAAAACTGTTACAAGGGTTTTGCCTTTCTATTGAATTAAATCACACATTCATTCCTATTGAATTTAAAAATTTAATGGGAAGTAACATCTCTCTATTTACTGATTGGAATGAGAAACAAATTCTCATGTTTAAATTTCCATTCATATGAGAAACAAATTCTCATTCACACCTATATTTAGTTTATTTCCAACAGTACCCCACATGAATAGAAATTATTTTTGGTTCAGTATTTAATGTTCATCAACAGATTCCTGCAAAGAAAAAGTAGGTGTTACCCTTTGAACTTCCCCCTTGTAAAGTATACTTGCATTACTAGCTGTTCAGTAGACGTGATTTTCTTGAACTATCCAACTGTATTGTGTAAAGAACCCACATACAATACACAGGAACCATTCCCATTTTGTTCCGTTCTCATAATTTTGTTCATTTTGGCCATGAACACGTCCTGGTTCTGCGAGAGTTTCTAAAGAACTGAGCCTTAAGAGTTCTCCTTTGAAGCGGCCCCACTTCTCTCTTACATAGATGACTTCATAAGTCTAGAGTAAATGACATTACTCACTTAAGAGTCATTAAAGCAATCACTTGTTATCCTCATCCGTTATATCACTGTTTCATGACAGAAATGTGCTGAGGTTACTACGCATGGATGACTAATTTGCCCCTAACCCTTCAAACGGATTGGACCAAAGAACCAACATTAAGTTTGGACTGAAGGATCAATATACTTTCCTTAAACTTTTGAATGTTGTTCAAACTCTTTCATATCCGGTGAAGATTTTTCACGATTTTCAAAGTTGATTTCAATATTTACATCTAATGGAATCTTCCAATTTCACAAAGATCGTAAATGCACTGAGTTTGCATATAAACATTTGAAATTTCAAATTCCGAAATTATATATCATGAAAAATACTACTAATACATGCCTTTTATATATTCGGCGTATCAACACACAACATTTCGTTGCGCTTTTCTTTAGATGTCTCAAAATGAAATCACAAGTCATTTAAGAGAAACTGTAGACGTATTCAATAGTATAAACACCATAAAGGTTTATTTAAGGTTAACGCCCCACAGTTAAATCTTTATACTCCATGCATGTAAATGGGGCATGCATACACGCACCAAGTCCTTTATATTCAAATCTGGTTAAATGCACTTTTAGACTTATTTACGCCATTAATGTACAATCACATACAAACATAGGTGTGTATCGCACTATTACAAATGTTAAAAAGAAAACATGCATTCGTACAACAAAATATCTTGGGACATTTAAACTACATTAAATGAGACTATTATGGTAGCAGTTAATGTTGTTAATCATGGAAACTAACGGATCACATGGTTACAAAATTTTGGGTTCTTTATCTCCTTTTAATTTCTAATTATTTTCAATTTTGCTCTCTCCAGTTTTCTCATCTTTCACCGTGAAAGAACTCTCGGCAGCGGCAAACTCCGAGCAAAAGTTAACGGCGGAGTTTCTCCTGAGTAGTGACTCGAAATTTGCTTTTTAATACATTATGAAAACTGAATCCAAATTATTGGTCAGTGTCTATATTTTTCATCTCATTGCCTCTAATTGGAAATCAATTTTTGTTTTATGGGACAAGTATTATTTTATTATCTTTCTATGGCTGATTCATTTGTTGATATTTATGCTTCTTTGATCTAACTTGAAAGCATCGTATTGTTTTAATTTATATTGTGATCCGCTATTGCTTGTTAGCTGTTTGATAAAATGCCAGAAAGAATTTCGAATACTTTTCTCTTGGACAGTATTCTCTTTTCTTTCCTATTTTTTTAGGTGTTTTCACATTTCTTACCTTACTTTCATAATGAAAAGACTAGCCTATAGAATGATGAACAAAAGTTACAAAACAAAAACGTTGAATTACGTATGCTGTATTTTTTTATATAAAAAAATTTGGGTATAAGATCTTTGTAAAACACAGCTGAATCAAGAAAATTTAGTAAAAGAAAATGACTAATGACATCTTAATTTTCAATCTCTGCACATTGGAAAAAGAAAAGAAAAAGGGAAATCTTTGCAAAAGTTGAAGTACATAAAGAAAAAAAAAAGAAAAGAAAAGAGAATACTCTGAGAGAAAAAAAAATGGAGAAGTGATTAATCCTAAAATTGTATATAAAAGTGGTTTACATCATGTCAACTAAAAGTATGACATGGCACAACTTGAATCATGGAAGTAATATGATTTAAATTTAAGTTACTTATGGTAATAATAGTTTGATGAATCAGGTTATTTGAGAAAAAAAAAAAAAACTCATCATCGTTGATGCCCGAATACAACCGCCGAGTCTAGGTGAAATTTGGAGTTTGAATTTGGGAGTTCATGACCCCACCTGACCCAACATTTTTTTTCTTCGATTTTTTTTTTTTTTCAGTACAAAGAGGGAGGCCCGTGTGGCCTAAAGCTACCGTACTATTACATTCCGCGGATGTGTTATCCCGATCACGTCGTGACGGAACTAAGGTAGCACTTCCAGTGGGATACATCAAGGGGAAACACACCCCATTCCAATTGATTTTGCAAACCTGCAAGGCAATCTGTGGCGAAGTTGGCTTCGCGGTGGTAATGACTAATTTCTAGCCTCCAATCCCTCTGCTTGAGTTCCTGGATGCCTGAAATGATGCCAGCATAGATCCCCTGATCTCCTTGACCATCACAAAATGATGCGAACTGCTGTTTCACTGTCAATCTCTGCCTGAATCTGGCGAATTCCTTTATTTCATGCTAGCAAGAGCCCCTGAAAAAGGCCCCATAGCTCTGCTCCCAACACTGTTAGAAAACCCAATGTTCATGGTAAATCCCCCCATCCAATTCCCAAAGTGATCACGCAGCAATCCTCCCGCTCTTGTGTGCCCGGTACTTATCACCCAAGTCCCATCTGTGTTCAACTTAATCCATCCTTCGATTGGCGACACCCAACTGATCATCCGCGGCTCTCTCTGTGGCACGGGATTGCTTGCTCTTCTTTGTATTGCCAGAGCTTCCCTAATTTCCTCCACCTTAACTTTGATCTCCCCTATCTTCCTGGTTATTGGTTTCCGTGAATTTCTGAAAACTAGCTCACTGCGCCAGGCCCAAATTTTCCACTAATATATAGGGTGTAAACTCTGTACATAAAGTAGACCACTTTACACAAGTTAGTTGTGGCAGGCTCGAAATAGAATTAATTAGGAGTATTTATGTGCTTGATAATTGATATGCCTTCATAGATCCTTAGCTAACTCAAGATCTCCATATATAGGGCCATTTCAAAAGAAAAACATCTTCATTAGTTAACCTTTGTTATTTACATCAAAATGCGAATCAACCGCAAGGTTACAGTAGCAACGAGTTCCCTGCCTTTTGAACGGCAACTTATACTACATTTTGAAACTTTTTAATTGCAAAAAATTTTTAACTTACTTAATTTGGACGGCCCTTTAAGAACATAAATCCCAAACCTCTAGACGTTCCTACATATATAACACTTGATGGAACACTCATTGTTAATTTTTTTTAGTATATTATGCACCCACGTTCGAAGTTTTTGTTAAATTTTTAGTATAACTCTTATTTAGATTTTCCCTTAAGTCCGAACATAAATTAAGCTTGAAGCTCAAATTTATTGCAACCAGTATAAAACGAATAACATCAAGATCAATGTATACTGATGACAAGTTCACATTTTGGATAACCATATGCGATCTTCTTTCTTCTTCCTTTTTTTGGGCAAAATTCTAGTAGTGAGTTTCTAAGAGTAATAGAAAGCAATCTTTCAATACATTTGGTTTGAAAAAAGATTCTAGTCATTTTTTTTCTAAAAAAAAAAGATTCCTTTTCTTCGTTTTGACTTTTTGAAGCGCATTTTTGTGTCCACCGAAAGCCAAATTTCTTCCATTGAAAATGACAGGTTAATGCCCAATAATTTCTTGAAGAAAATAATGAAACGGAGCAAATCTATCTATATACTATACTAAGGCAAAAACTAGAAAGAGAAAACTAAAGGCATGGAGCACATGCCACATAGGATTTAATCCTATGTGACATTTTCTTAATTTCTTAGACTTAAAAATACACAAAACAAAATAATAAAACAAAAAAATGCAACTAAAATAATTTTTAAAAAAAACAAAATAATAAAAACCGAA